GCACAGAACTGAATAAAAACAAGTTTAACCAACTCCTTTCACTTCAAACTATTTCTCAGAAGAAATAAAGGAATAAGATATCACTAAACAACACAGTTGAACTTAATCCCAACCTAGCTAGAGATGATAAAATTCTTGTCTTTGCTGCCTCTGGTTTCCAACTCAGAAGTACAACTACCTGACTGGAGGTCAGCAATACCCTGTGCTCATGACATCACAAACGCATAGTTTTGTAATAACTACAAGAAGGTGGCGGCTGGCAGGAATGAAGGCAAGTGGCAAGTCCACTAAAGAACAGCTGTGTGCTTCTGTTACATGGAGACCTTTCTTTCATACACACCCTTTTTTAAATTAGCCATATTACCGGAGAATTTTCCTTTAAGATAGCTGGAGAAGGTTTTTCAGTGCCCAAGACCTTCAAGAAAGCTACCTTAGTCTTTAACAATGCAGTGGGTTCTCCAGACAGGATGAAAGAAGATCCAGTCTAGCTGGAACACAGACATCATCGACCAACTGTTCTTATGCATGAGGGAGAAAGCCTGAGAGGCCACATTCACCTTTAGTTTTTTAAATTAGCCTACATTAAGATACTTAGTATAGTCTAGTTTTAATTACCTATAAATGGACTTTCAATTTTGTGGATTTCTAAAACCAAATATTTAAGCCAAAATTGTACAAACTGTACAATTGTACTTCTACAATTGTAAAATTCCTACAGACTTTTCCTTGCTATCAGATAATATAGGTTTAGAAATGTAAATTCAACATCAGTATAACCCCCAAAAGAGTAAGTCTGGCTTTAAAAATAATTTTTTTTTGGCAGGGTGGGGGTTACGAGGCAGGGTTTCTTCGATAGTCGAGGCTGTCCTAGAACTAGCTCTGTAGACCAGGCTGGCCTGAAACAGAAATTCACCTGCCTCTGTCTTCCAAGCGCTGGAATTAAAGGCATGTGCCACCACCACCAAGCAAAATAATGCATTTTTAAAATAATAAATTTGTTCAAAAAGCGTTGCATTCTTATGCCAGTACGCTCAACATTAGCAGAGCTAAATGCCCTGGAAATATGATGTCATCCTTACCACAAGCTTTGGAGCAGAACCCCGCCATAGTCCTGCGATTTCTCCACAGGCTGGTGCATTATGGGACAGGGACAAGCAGAGCTCAGACAGCAAGGTACACAAATACAAAAACTTCTATATGGAATCGTTCATCTACTGGCTATATATCTTTGGGCCAGAATGGTACAGAAAAGAAGCAGAAGAGTCACAATGTACCGGCGCCTGCCTGACTCCTTGTCCCTGAGTTCCTGGACCAAAGGGCTCAATATTTCTCATTAAATCCATCCTTTGTTCAAGGACCTACAATGACTCTATTGACCCTTCTATCCACATCCAACAGTTTGGCCTCTCAGTCCCTTCCACCCTCTTACTCCCCATGACTTGACCAGCCCACACTCTACCCAGTCACTCTCACACATAACTTAGTCATTCATACAGACCATCGCTGCACACTGTATATGCTATATTTTATTTGGAAAATGATTTTGTTGGGTTTTTGATACTGGGTTTCATGTGTCCCAGGCTGGGTCTGAATTGACTACACATCTAAGGAAGGGTGCCCAGAAACCTCTGATCCTCCTGCCTCAACCTCCCAAGTACAGGGATCACATAGATGCACCACCACAACCGATCTATGCAGGGCTGACAACAGCCCCCAGCCCCTCAGAAAATCTTTTTCTTTTATTCCTAACACAGAAAAGATTTTTATTGACTTTAATGTGCACACTTATATAGGTAATGATCTGGGCAAGGTCATGTCATAAAGAAGAACCAGAGTCCATAGTTTTATATGACTAATCCATAATCTCCCAAGTCCATTTCACAACATACTGATTCAGAAAGCTCTGTCTAATCTCACTAATTCCTTCTTACTTCAAGTTTTCTCCAGCCCATCCACATGCCAGTATAACTGTTTAGACAGTTTCTGACATTTTAAAGTGTTTAAACACTAAAGCCTCTTCCCATGTATGTCACCATCCTCCTTCGCCCTGCTCTGTGTTCCATATATTACCTCCTGACCCCTCACCTCCCACTCCGAGGGAAAAGTCACCTGTTTCACATCTATCTCCCCAAAGGCTGCCACTGGAGTTTGCAGGTTGCTTCATCCATAGGGGTGCTCAAATATTATTCAGCAAGGAATGTTTAAGTCCTCTCTTCTATTATCTTAAAAAGCCAAGTGAATTGAGCAGTTCATGATAAAACTGCCCTGCACAGAATTTTAATTGTCTGAATCTATCAGACACTACTAAGATTCCAGTCACCATTCCACATAGGAAACATCACTGAGATCACATTCCCAAGGACTGATTTTTCCCTTGGGTGGGATAAGTGTTTGTGCTAAGGAGGACACGGACACAGACATACACTTTCTCTCTCTCTCTCTCTCTCTCTCTCTCTCTCTCTCTCTCTCTCATAGTCTCAGTCAGTACTGTTAGAATACTCGAGGCATCTGGGAGTCCAGAAACACAAGCAATACAATGCTCCCATAACAATGTGAACATTCATTTGTGATACTAAATTGTCCCATCATAGCTCACTTGGCTGCTACACAATGTACCTCACACTGTACCTCAAATTTCTAAAAATGCCTTCTGAGAACTAAGAATAGTGGAGGATCTATTGGGCTGCTTGCTTTACACTTATTTCTAGGTTTCTACAAACTCTTCACTCCCCACCCTGTGGAATAATATACACAGTTCAACAAAAGGAAGTCAGCTATAAACAGAAATCACCCATATGTCATAACTACTATTGGCACCAGTCAATTCACAAGGATTAAAACATCTATTAACAGTCAAGACTCCAAGTGAATATATGTGATTATTAATCCAATTTTAGACTCCAATTGAGATATTTTTCCACTAATGGGTAGGAGAGGAAAAGAAAGATAAAGCAATGATTATGCCAAGGAAGTTTTCAGACTAGTGATATAACTCCACCACAGAGCACCTAACACGGTGCATGCTGGTCGTCTGTCTTTCTACAGCACACCAGAACCCACTGCTGCCACCCTGCCTTATACAGCGCACAGGCCTGTTTTCTTTGGCAAAGTTTTACTCTTTTCTCCTCCACAGATATCGTCCCTGGTACTAAAGGAAAGGAATAAGACAAATCAGACCACCAAAAATAAACAAACAAATCAGTAGTAGTTTGGAAACAAACTTCCATCTTTACCTCCTATTTGAATGTGTAATGTCCAAAGCAGACATCTATTCAATTCTAAATTATTCACGGTAATGGATAATGACTGGCCAAAAGGTGCTGATAATCCAAAGTGAGAGGGAAAAATCGAAAAAGAATCTATTTTGGTTTTGGAATATATGTTTTTCAGCATATTTGCCTTCTCAATTATTCGTAGCATGAGCTAATATTTGTGTTCATGTTCAGTCTCTAAGTACACAGAAACTGGCCTGTTAGGAAGGCGTTCTGAAGATGCCAGCTCACTAGTGAAGTTAGAACAGACTGCTATTCAGCTCTGCACATGAGGAACAGCCAATTTCTTTTATCTTGCAGTTCTGCTCAGTCTTCAAAATATCAATAGACTAGTACAGCAGGTTAGTAAGCGGAAAAGACCTGCCTGAAAACAATGAGGGCAAAGAACATAATTAATTCCTCATTGTTTACCTAGAGCGTGTTCATTTGTCGGCTATGCACGGCCAGCATTTAACTACAAGTCTGGCTCTCCATCCCTTCAGGAACACAATCTCATTTATTAAGAAACATATTTTCTAAAATTAAAATAAGTTATTCTTTTGGATTCATCTCACCACTACTACTTCTTATTTTGCTTTTCCACCTCTGAAACAGGTTTTGAGACAAAGGGATCCTGCCTTCTGAAAGACCTCCTAAGTATATAGTAGGAAAAGCCAAAGACGGACAAATTACCAGCTTCTAGTTTCCTAAATAAAACATCTTCTGTAGTACTCACAAAAGATAAGGAAAGAAAATGCCAAAGTCGAGTTAGCTTTGCAAGTCATGAAAATTCCCTTAGAAGTGTGTGTGTGTGTGTGTGTGTTTGGTAGGGGATAACCTCTTAGATCAAATTTCATCCGTCCACTTCTTTCAATTTCCCCATTTTTACATGTGCCTTGCGCTCAGAAAAAGATACCTACGTTAGATAGACACTCTATCACCAGGGAGGAGAGACAGACTCTAAGGGCTGGTCCTTGTGAGCCGACAGGCTAAAAATACGCCGGCCCAGTAAACAAATCCCATTCCATCTCGACAGGAGCCACACCGTTAACCTAGTAATTATGAGAAGAGTGAGATCACGCAGCCCCCGGCTTACTCAGCAGCAGCTTCGAAAGTTTCCATCGGCTCAGAGCAACTTTTCTTTTTTTCTAAAGTCCATAAGCCTGCCCTAGAATTTCTACACCTACACTTACAGCCTCTCTCTCTCTCTCTCTCCCTCCCTCCCTCCCTCTTTCTCTCTCTCTCTCTCCCTCCTTCCCTCCCTTCTTCCCCCCTCCCCTCACCCTTCCTCCATCACTGGTCGCACCTCCCTTTGGCTATCGAGAAGCAGCACAAACTTGTCTTTTCATTTTACTTTTATAATGACTTCAAAAGAACTTTATCCCACTGGCTTGAGGGGGCCCGTCAGCGGCATCTTGACCCCCCTAAAACTCCGCCATCCCTCCCCAAAAGCCTAGCGGACAAGAGGGGACCATCCAAACTGCCCAGCACAGCTCGGGAGAGGACAGGAACCGCCAGGCAGGGCTGGGAGCGCGGGACGCAGGTGAAAAGACTGGCGTGAAGAGGGAAGGTGGGGACCAAGCAGGGAACGGCGAGGCGAGGAGCGGGTGCTCAAGGGAGATGGCTTCAGGTAAAGTCTGGTCAGAAAGAGGGAGCAGTGGAGCTCCGAGGCGCAGAGTTTGGGACGCTGGAGAGGCGGGAGGGGCGGGGGAGGACGGGGAGGGTTGTCAGGGCTGGGGGCTCCGTTACCCTCGCGACTCTCAGGGCAAGGCTCTAGGCCGGGGCGGAGCGCGGGGCCCGGCCGCCTCTCCTCATTCCTCGGCAGTGACCCCGGGGTCCGAGCGGCCCCTCCCCCGACGACGATGGAGGCGGAGGCGGACACTGCGACCGCGACTGTTGCTCTCCACAGGAACTGGAGCCGGAGCCAAGCCGGGAACTGGCCGAGACTGGCCTCTCCCCAGTGGCTTTCCGCCGGCTCCACACCGGGTCGCCACTCCGACTCCAGCGGCTGGTTCAGGATCGGTGGGTCTCGACCGTCCGGCCGGAAACAAGAGCCCGTTTCCGGCCGGAGCGGGTTGGCGGTGACACCCTAGCCGCCCCCGGGCCTCCTCCCGCCCGGCGCGGCCGGCCCCGCCCCGTCCCGCCCCGCCCCGCCCCGCAGCAGCCCCGCCCTCAGGGCCGTTCTGGGGCCGCGGCCAGTTTGGCGCTTGCCCGGCGCGTGACCCCGCGCGTTCTTGGCTCGCGTGCCCGAGCCCCCAGGCTGAAGCAGTTTTGAGCCGGGAGCTGGGAGCCCGGCGAGGACTCTTAGGACTTTGGGGTCGTCTCAGTTGGCGCCGGCCCTTTGGGAAGAAATAGAAACGGGAGGAGTAGTTCTCGAAAGGTGAGAAGGATGAAAATATTTGAGAAGAGGGCTGAAATTCTAGTTACTCCAAGCAGTCCTTCTGGACCGACCAGAGGAAAATAAACAGCGCTTCTTACAAACCAGTCCCGCCCAGTTATGCGTTCCCCTTGTTCCTTCACTTGGCCGTACCCTTTGCTGTACAGTATTTACTTGCATAACAATGACTCCCTAATGACACCTTGGCCGCAGACCTAGCGCTGTCGGTAAAAGTTATGTAGTACTTTTGATGGTTAATGTGTTTTTACAACGTTACAGCATAATTAGACGCCAGAATTTATTGAAGCCCTACTATGTAAAGGCACTTGCACTCCGTAATACTGGAAATAGAAAAGTCAAAGAACACCAATTCCAAGCATCAACGGTCTTACAATTTAGTATTAATAAAATGCATTAACGTACTTTTAGGCAAGGCAAGACAAACATGTGCCATGTAGGTTACAGTGAGCTGTGCCCAGAGAGGGCATAGACGAGCCGTCTCAACCTTCAGTATCTGTAAAAGAATATGGACTGCTTCCACAAGAACCAATTGATTGCAAACACAAAATGGGGCCAGCCTCTGCTACACGCTAACCTAAAGAATCCTAGATTTAAGTTCAGACACTTAACATCGTGGTGCCCAGTGTACATATTCAAAGCAGGGTTTATTGTCAAAATTATGTTCTTTGGGCTTATGTGACAGTACACCACCCTACAGTCAGCTTTTCATTTTCCTCACTCCCCTCTGGGGCTTTTGGTTTCTAAAGGGGAGGGAGGGATGGAGCACAGAGTCCTCCAGACGAGCAAACTGACACCTGAAACATGAAACCTGCTGGACAGCTCTGTCTCTTGAGAGATCCCCTTAAGTTTAGAGTTGAAGGTTTAGGGCTGGACCTAGAGCCATGCGTATGTACCTCAGCCAAGCAGAGCAAGGTGCCTTGCATGGAACATACCAGAACTTACAACTCAACAAGAAGAGATGTTAGGGCCAGAGCTTCAAAGATTCAGGGACTGCAGACTGTGGCTACAACTTAGTGACAAATTTGAAAAGAACAGGATGAGATCTGGTCACTTCTGTTGATTCTAATTGAATTCCGTAGATCCTACCAGACCTTGACAGCTAGGTCTGAGGCAGGAAGGCAGAACTGTGCAAAACTGAAGGCTGTTTTCACCAAGGAATTCAGGACCCACTGGCGCTCATCTCAACGATGTCTGTTCTGCTCATCACTCTCACCGACTCTCTGGGACCAGGTCTGGAGCCCAAAGGTTCTCTCCACCTTGAGCAGACTTTTTCTTTTGGCAGGGACCACAAAAAGGGGTCCTGATTCAAAAGCTGAGCCAAGTTGCTGGTCAGCGTCGAGCAAGTGACCACACACTGTAGGCCTGCCTGAAAATTGAGGGATCAGGAAGTGGTGGGGTTGCTGTTGCTTTGTTTCTTACCCTGACTGCCCATCAGTCATTGTTGTTTGTGCGACTGCTCAATGGGCTGCTTGTCTTTGGCCAGCTCTGCCTGTGTGTGGGTAGCAGTGTGGTCAGCTGGGCTGGAAGCCAGGCCACCTGGGTTCTGGTCCCCGCTCAGCCAGCCCCTGATCCATTAAGTGTCTCCCTTCCCATTCCTATGCTGTCGGTTTCTCTGCCTATAAACTATAAAGTAGGAGCCTCTGCTCTTGTGGGGTGCAGCCATTCTGACTGTCACTGTGTCCGATGCTCAGAAGCGACCATCTCATAGTGAACAGTCACAGCAGCCTGAGGACAGCTGAGACTTTTTTTTTCTTCCTAGGTAGAATAGTAAGGAACCGATGGAAAGGCATCGAAGAAACCCCACCAGTGTACACAAGGCCACGCCCCTTGTCTGCTACTCCCTTCGATGTTTTTTTCCACCCTAACAACTGCCTGTTTCCTTGTCTTAGTGATTCCAAGCTTCTAGAAGCTCCCAGAGCTTGAACTTGCATTTCACCAGAGCGCCTCAAAGGAGACCCGGCATGTGGCTGGCGGGTATGGTGCAGGGGAAATAGTCAGAGAATGCTGCTTTGCAGCTAACCAGGAAAAAAAAGGAGAAATTATTTGCATTTATATGTTTTTGTGGTAGAAAACAAAACCAAACCAAAATGACTTCCTCTCTACTACCATACTATAATTTAGGCCAGTGGTTCTAGGATTCGTTTAATACTATGTACTGTACATGCTTAGGGATGTTAGGCTAGTTCAGAATTCTTGATGCTGAAGGCTATATAAATATAAATATATAAGCTTATATTTATAAAATATAATATATAAATATATATTTATATATTGGTTTTTCGAGTCAGGGTTTCTCTGTGTAACAGTCCTGACAGTCCTGGAACTTACTTTGTAGACCAGGCTGCCTGTTTACTTCACCTGCTTCTGCCTCTCAAGTGCTAGGATTAAAGGTCTGTGCCACCACCGCGCGGCCAAAATATATATCTTTAAGAAAAATATCCAGGGGGACTGGAGAGATGGCTCAGAGGCTAAGGGCACTATCTGCTCTTCCAGAGGTCCTGAGTTCGATTCCCAGCAACCACATGGTGGCTCACAACCATCTGTAATGTAATGAGACCTTATTGAAGGAGCTGTGGGCTGCGTTCCTGCCACCTGGCTAGCTTATGCCCCAAAATAATTACACGGAAACTGTATTCTTTTAAACACTGCTTGGCCCATTAGTTCTAGCCTCTTAATGGCTAATTCTCACATCTTGCCTAACCCATATTTAGTAATCTGTGTAGCACCACTCTTACTGGAAAAGATTCAGCATGTCTGACCTGGCGGCTTGCTTCATTGCGTCTGCCCTGGAGAGGAGAGGCATGGCGTCTGACCTCACTTCCTTCTACCCAGCATCCTGTTCTGTTTACTCCACCCACCTATGTTCTAACCTATCAGGCCAAGGAGTTTCTTTATTAATTAACCAATGAAATCAACAGGTTGATATATGACACTCCCACATCATTTCCCCTTTTTCTGTTTAAACAAAAAAAAGAAGGCTTTAACTTTAACATAGCAAAATTACATATAACAAAACAGTTATCAAGTAAGAATTACAGTTACAATATTTATATCTATTTTATCTTTTATCATAACAAAGAAAAACAACTATAACTATCTATCTATTTTTCAACTCCATCAAAGACTCCAGAAGTATATAATATTACCTAAGTAAATGAGAAGTAAGCAACTTACAAAACTCTAGAAATCACAGAGACATCTCGCTGCCTGGACAGTCACCCAAAGTTCCTCTGTGCAGCTGGGGCATCCATCTTCGGCCTACAGGCCCATAGTATCCAGAGACATTTCCATGAAGCAGGAAATTTCAAAGGCAGTTCAGTCACTACCTGCTGTGTCCTGCAGAATGTCTCGCAGACTCTTTCATGAATCAGGAACCCCGAAAGATCATCTCACCTTTAGGCAAGTTCAGCAGTCCTCTCTCTGAGGGTTCTCTGTGTCCAGTTTATGCAATAGTCCAGGCAAGAGCAGTTTCTTGCCTAATTGGCTATCAAACTCGATAAGGAGCCTCTTCGATGCCCATCTTCCTTTTGAAGTAGATTGGTGCTGCCAGGAGCAGACGTGTCTCATTGTCATGAAAAGTCCTAAGTTATTAAAACATTAAATGTCATATTCTGTAGTCTTTGAAAGATATGAAGAATGTCTATCTAAAATATATCTATGCACATCTAGAAAATCTAATTAACATGACTACAAGTTTGATTATTATTAATGATTATCTATTAACAACCTATATACATTACATTTTTACATGAACTACACAATCACAATACCTTAATCAATACCAGAAATACATATACATATAACAAGATTGACCTTAAATTTATATCAGTAAAGTCAAATCCATACCAATGCAAATTATTCATATCTCCATCAAGACCTAGTGCCTTCCTTGCCAGCAGTACATTGTATGCTTAATAAACAAATCTTTAAAAAAAGAAAAAAGAAAAGAAAAAGAAAAATATCCAGGACTTTTTCTAAGTTAAATCCATTCCTGCCCTCTCACCCAGAAATTCTACTCCTGGATGTTTACCTACTAGAAAAGAAAACATGTGTCTACAAAGAGTTTACGTATGAATGTTCATAATGACTTCATTTTTCATAGCCACCCAATGGAAACCTTTCAAATAACCATGATTTCAGAAATGGACATCTAAACCCAGCAATATCACTTTTGGGTATATATCCAAAAGATGCTCAATTGTACCACAAGGACATATGCTCAACTATGTTCACAGCAGCATTGTTTGTCATAGCTAGAACCTGGAAACAACCTAAAAGCCCCTCGACCAAATAATGGATAAGGAAAATATGGCACATTTACACAGTGGAGTACGACACAGCAGAAAAAATAACAACATCTTGAAATTTGCAGGCAAATGGATGGAGCTAGAAAATATATTGAGTGAGGTAACCAGACCCAGAAAGACAATTATCATATGTACTCACTCATAAGTGGTTTTAAAACATAAAGCAAAGAAAACCAACCTACAAATCACAATCCCAGAGAACCTAGACAACTAAAAGGATCCTAAGAGAGACACACATATATCTAATCTACATGGGAAGTAGAAAAAGACAAGATCTCCTGAGTAAATCGAGAGTATGGGAACCAGGGAGAGGGTTAAAGAGGAGGGGAGA